CCGCTTGTTTTGGAAGTTTAACTTAACGTTTGCTATTCATTTTGTATTTCTGCTCAACTACTATAAGACTTAAAAACTGTAAATTACTAAGGTGTGTAGAAAACTATACAGGGATTACAATGGGATAAAAAAATTATCATTCGATAGTTAATTTGAGAATTTGTAACTGCTAAGCTTGATAAGCGAGAAAATATATAGCCAATCTACAGGCTGCAGGAATGCAACTAAGTTGAAATTGGGTATGCTGAAAGGACCAACTTTGATTATAAACTTAACACAGAGTTTTTCTTTTTTTTTTTCGAAGTTCCCATTGGTTTGAAAGTTATTACTGCTTAAAGATTTTCCCCCTATATAATAATTTTTCTATTGGAAATTCATCCATTTGAATGTAGAAAAATTTATCTTTCACGCGTTTTTTTTAACCTCATACACACTTCCCTTGACATAAAAATTTACAAAAAAGAAGAAAAAAAATTAATAAATGTTGCCAAATATAAATTTTAACATTTATATCGACGTTTTAAATAATATTAAGAAAAAAGAGAGATAAAAACTGTTTCGAATATGATCCGGTATATCATATAAGATAATCATTATATATTATTAACAAGAAAAATTATTTCTTATTTTAATTGCTATGGTCTCGCACATTTTGTTCCTAATTTAATTATTTATTCAAGTACATTTAATTATTTTCAAATCAGCTATCATCTAATTTTTGTTACGATTTATATAAAAAATATGCTTACGTGAAAATTATAATAGTTATATATTTCACAAACAAAATGGTTTTTAATAGAATTTTAAGAGCATAAAATCTTTTAAGAATAAAGGGAAAGAACGGTTTATGTCCACTGCAGTTGGTTCTGAAAAAGAAAATGCGCACAGACAAAAACTGTTTTACCACAGCACGACGCATCTTTACTGTGTAATAAATCTCTGTGAGTACCGATTTTTTCCCCTTGTTTTTTACTTGCTGAACTGAGTAAACTTCAAAATACGACTAATGGCAATACAATCGTAATTTTTATTTTTAAAAAAATGGTAACATAAGCACCCTCATTTGATCTACAATCATTAATGACAAGCAACTACTGGGGTTGATGAGCGAAGCGAACAGGTAACGGAGCTTCCCATTCGAAAAATAAAGGATACCATAAAATAATCTATGACGAAAAACTATTATCTGTGAGTTAAATTATGCACATTTAGAATCATTCCAAAAATCGGACTGTGGAGGCTCATGAATTGAAGGCAATTAATTTGCTGCAGTTAAGGTATAAATCATGTCGCAATCTAAAAATCCTTTTATTAGTGAAATGTGTGCATGATGTGTAATTTATCTACTAAGGCGTGTTTCTGAAAAAGTTATTATATTAGCATCAAACATTATTATCCAAATTTTACTAATAAACTAATAATAATTTTACTAACTAATTTTAAAATAGTTCCTCCAATTAAAAGGGAGGTCTGAAAATGATTTCTTTCTGTAGCATGAGAATTGCCATTTATAGGCAGCAAGAAATACCGCTTTATTTTTTTATCTGTTCATGGTTTAAAGAGCTCCACTAATAAGTCCTAATTACAAAATAATTTTATTTCATCGAAATAATTATGCCTCTTCTGGAAGATTCAGTATCTTCAACTATAAATTGGAAAGTACGCTAATATTTCAACTGGATAAAAGTCAAAATTTCGGTACTCTTAAAGTTCTTTTTAGATTTCAACCTGATTCCTCCCACTAACTCCAGAGATTTAAAACATTTTACGCATACTTATAGTTGTTAACCCCCCAAAAAATTAGCTGCAAGAAATCTTTTTAATGCATGCATAGGAAACATTTTTTCCAAATCAGCATTGAAAATAATTAAATGTGTGTATATAATTTTGCATTTCTACTGCAAGTTATGTTTCTTTCATTATTCAATAGTTACTGGGGAAGGAGTAATTTTTCATGTGTCTCTTGATTTGAATACTAAATCGTTTTAGGAGAAGAAAAAAATGATAACTTTTTCTAAACTATGCTATGACTCTTGTACTATTTTCCGCTTTAATTAGAGTGATATTTAAGTCTTAAACTTAATTATATGATAAATTTAATTATAAAGCAAAATTGAAAGGGAGAAAATTTTAATGTTTATTTTTGTCTAATTTGATATTAAAACAATTGGTTTTAAAATAAAACTTTTCAAAATGAAATAATTCTAATTTTTTTTAAAAAAAAAACTATTCTGCTCTTTAATTGGTTAATGTAAAATCAAGTTGCTTAATTTGGTATTAAAGTATCTTCTGATTGATACATTTTATGCTATAATACAATCGCAATACATGAGTTATAGATTTTTCCTCAGCCATCCGAAAACTTAGGTTTGAAGGTCGATCAGAGGGGGGGGGTTGAAGGGGCTCCCTACAACAACTTTGCCTCATTCCCTAGTCAAAAGCCACACCGATCAATTTACAGACACATTTTTTTTTGGCGAGATTCTAGAGAATCAAAAGCAAAGCAACCCTACACCTTATCTCTTCAGAGATCAGAGAAGCATGCTGTTTGGAATTTTTTCACTTGAAACTTGCGAAAAATACATAATTTAAGAAATTTTCAACATCAAGATAAAAAGTCTCGGGTCTTTCGTCAATAATTTTGTGCTTTTAGTCTTCGTTCATACATTTTAATATAATATACATATATCAAGCCGTAGATAAGATTTTCTTTCGGCATGGGTCAAAAATTGTGATACATAATATCGCATTTCTTAACAATTACAAATTCGCAATGATCTTATCTTGTATTTATCTTAAATTTATAACGGAATACTCATATAACTATTTAAGATTATTTTATAGTAATAATAGAAATGTTTATTAAAAACTCATAGGGAAAAATTTACTATTTCAATTTTCAAATCAGTTTCCTGAGGGTTTATTTAACTTAAGCTTGTGCAGTAGAGCTGCATTTTGCACCCATATTTGAATTATACTTCCAATTTCCCGGACCTTTAAGAGCGCAATAAGTAGCTAAATAAGTTTATAATTGAATTTTATATTCAAATAGCTAAATAAATTTATTATTGAAATTTATTTAGCTATTTGAAAAAATATATTTTTGTAGATATCCCTATTTTACAAGGGAAATTATTTTTTGTCAATTATTTTCTTTTCGGGAGGTGTTTAAGCCCCCCTCCGTATTTTACTCCTGGTTACGGCCCTGTAATAAATGATAGGCTATTGAGTTTTAAAAGTGTATCAATATATTTTAGCTAAGCTTTTTATAAAAGAGAATTTTACTTAAATTAGTGATAAGTCAAGAAAACGCTAGTAAAAATTTATGGTATACAACGGTATACAATGGTATACAACGAAGGTCCTGTAACCAATCAATAGCAAAAGGCCAAATAACACTTTTATTTTTCGGGCCAGTATAAGTGACGAATTATATTGCCGCCTTTTTATGATAAAACATGGGAAAAAAATAAAATCGAAAAAAATTGCTTAATATTTTATTCTTCGATTATCTTTTTAAATTTTTTCCCATCTTTTCGAGTTAATAACCAATTCATTTCCGCAACTCTACACTTATTCATTATTAATAAAACAATTTATTGTAACCTTACAATTAATTTATGGTATACAATGATGGTCCTGTAACCAATTGAGTGCAAACGGCCAAACAGCAGTTTTATTTTCCAGGCCTATATAAGGGACGAGTTATACCGCCGCTTCCGATAATGCCTCAAAATCAAACGATAACGGACCCCATTGTGTTTGCCTTTTGCCGCTAACGTTCCGAAAATGCTTGCTTACGGCCTTACGTTTGCCGTGAGGTGTGTGCTTACTGGGTTATATGTTCCCATTGTCGAAGCAATGTAATAGCAGAAGCTGATCGGCTCGTGCTTTTGATATGCCTCCGTGAAAGAGCCTTTAGCATCAGGTGAACAGGAGTCTAGAGGTCTTGTGAGACATTCAAAGTCAGCGTAAATGACAAATGGTACAGGGTGCGTATGTTTAATATTTTCAAAGGATAGCCACTTACCTCGGGCATCTGTACGCGGACAGCTTCGTGCTGGCTGCAACTGAGTTTATGTCGCTGGAGCACTGGTTCAGTCGTGAAGAATTGCAGGCAGCGTCGGCAAATAAGATGTTTTTCCTTGTACTTTGAGTATTGTCTGGAGAGCAGCCGAGACAAGTGCTTGATCCAGACATAATGAGAGGATAAAGCATTGGTGAGGTACATGAGGTCAATATGTTGAGATTTCTCCTCTTTCGTGATAACTAGAGGATACACTTTATTATTTTCTGTCAATCCGTATACGTTGATGGAAAGTCCATTCAGCTCTCGAATTTAGGCACATCCTGAAGTTTCACAGGAAAATCTATTCCTGTAAAGTCCAGAGTAGAGACATAGGGCTCATACTTCTGACATCGCGAAGCATGCGGACAAAGATCTAATATGGGGTGGAGAGCAGAGAGTACTAACCACATAAATCATTGGTTGTCGGTGTTATGCACGTTGATGATAGTGTGCTTTTGCTTTGCCACTGGTTTCAAATCAATGTAAGAAGAACCGCAAAGTGGATTGTACTTATTTAACCATACCTCTAAATTGATGATTTCCTCAAGTACCCATCCGGATTCTTTCCCTTCAAAATCATCAGCTTCTGCCAGAATTTTATCCTCCTTTGCTCCATAGACTTCAGTTAGATCGGCGGAAGATGTAATGCCTGCATATTTGGTCTTAAGGTTCTTGACCTCCTGACTATACCATTTTGAGTCACTTTTTAGTAACGACATAAGAGTCGACAGTTCACTTTCAAATCGTAATCAGCGAGGTGGAAGGATACGATGCGGACAAAGTCTTCTCGCTTGAGTTCTAGAAATGTCCGCATGTCTTTAATGTTGTCATTATTCGGAAGAGGAATATTTTTCACCCTCCCGTCAAAGGCTGAGAGAGGATCGGAGACCGAAGTGGCAGCAGCGCGAGAGGTAGATGGACCAGCAGTCTGTTACATAGGGCAGGTATTCAAGCGAGAAGTAGATGTAGCAGCAAGGTTTTCAAGCCGAGATTGCTTGGAAGTAGATAGTGGAGTAGCAGCAGCAGCTCGACGCTTATGGACATTCATATGACTTTTCAGGTGATCGGCTCTGGAGAAAGTTTTTGAACAGTCTGGGCATTGGAGGTGCTTATCGCCGTGCCTGGAACGTTGATGTCGTAGCATACTAGGTCGGGTTGTAAAGCTCTTCATACAATCAGGACATGGAAACCTTCCCTGATCGACTTGATCTTCCTTCAGCATTGCATCCAAATCTTTACCGGTAAGGTCTCCAAAATCACACATGGCAAGCACTTCATCGTTCACAGGCAAAGAAGCACTAAATTCTTTACTCATCTTAAAACTTGATAAATTTACAAGTAATAATAAAGAAAACTACGAACGAAACTTTTAAATAAAAAGTTAAGCTACTAAAAACTTCTCCGTAACAACTAGCAAAAACTTTTAAATAAAAAGTTAAACAACTAACAAAAACTTGAACATCGATAACAAATAAATAATTAATAAAAAAATCTAACGTAATAACAAAGAGAGAACAAACTAAGTTTGGAAAAGCGCCCCCTGAGAGAGGTAATCCTACAATCAGAATAAGGTGTCTGGGCAAATGCATCAGATTCTATACTATAGTCGACTACTCAGAATGCATTGCGAAAGGCTATGTAATGCTTGTTCTGATTGGTTAAAAATGATATCACTATTTTATAGTTCAGTAAAATTTATTCTGATTGGCAGAAAAAGACGACATGATTTTCTGACTCCACCTCCATCGAACATTCGAGAATGATCTAATGAAACAAGACCGAACAAGATGTGAGTGAAACATTTCAATGTACTTCGTCTTTCTAGACCACACAGAAGTGATGCATGCCTTATGTTGAAGACGCGTACTTCATATTCATGTTAAATCCTGATTGTATGACATCACGTATTCCTGTTTTGATTGAATCGAAGAAATGACATCACTCCACCCTACGGAAACATGTCTTATCTTGCAAAATTGCTTCTAAGTTTTATCTTTCAAGATTACTTTCATGTTTCATATTACAGACTGATTATTACCTGATTCATGTTCAATCCTGATTGTATGACTTCGGGTTTCATTTTTGTGTCCTTAATATCATTCGTATCAGAAAAAAAAATAATAATAATTAAAAAGTGATAATTAAAAATTAATTGAAAAGTAATAATTAAAAATTGAATTAAGAAGCAATAGTTAAAAAATTAAAGTAAGAAGTAATAATTAAAAAGAATTAATTACAAAATAAAGATTAAAAAAATAATTATAAAAAAACACACCCTCAACTATAGTAGCTGTCACATTTGATGGATCACCCCACCGGACACACCCTTTTTAACCTCCCTCCATTGAAACCTAGGAAAACCCCCGAAAACCCTGGTGCTGAAGCCCTATTATCCTACTACTTAACTTTATTTTATAAGAAGGCAGAAGCTACTAAAAGTGGTCAAAACCTATATTCCACAGTCTTTTTAGTATGACATTTCAGTTATTTCCTCAATCAATGCGATGTCGTTAAAAACGTTAGTGTAGTTTTCCTGCATACTGTATCCATCGGTAGAAAAACTGTTTTGCTACCAACTATTACGATTCAATTCATTCTCGCTAAAATGACATTGACGGTACAGTAAGTTAATAATTATTAATTTGAATTAACATTATAAAAAATAAAAGATATTTTTGATTGGAGTTAATATTGAACATTGCAGTTTAGTACTCGTATTTTTAATCTTTATCTAGGTGTTTCAAGAGGCGTATCATAAGATTGATATAAATTTTAATTTGTGTAATACCTAAAAATATTCATTTTTCGTTTTTTTTTTCTTTCTAGTTTTTAATTCATTAAATGATGCGTAAAAACTGGTCACAACTGTAAATTTTTCAAAAAATTGGTCATTTTTTTCATGATGTTCATAACACATGCCCACACTTTTAAGATGTGCACGAAGTACTAATTTCACCTAAAATAACGTTCACGAGTTTTTAATATTCCTCACTCTTCAAGGGAGTTTGCGATGTTTTAAGATTTTGGTTGAGTAGGTGAGAGAATGTATTATTTCTAACATATGTGATAATTATTAAATTTGCTTCATTCTCTGGTAAACAGCAAAGGTTTATTTTCATTTATTTAGCACTAAACAATCAATGGAGAGAAGTAACTTTAATTAGCGCATTTTTAAGCTTATTTACATTAAATTTAAATAATTTCCTTTTTTTCTAACTAAAATCTCTAATGTAAAAGTAAACTTAAAAAATTTAAGTAAATTTTCTATACTATATCGTTCGTAATACCGCGAAAAAAATGAAGGCAATAATATATAAGCACTATTTGTGATGCGGAAAAAAATGTTTTGTGATGTGGAAGAAATGTTGCTCATAAAGTTTGTGTTAGTATGTATAAAAATATTTATCGATTGTTAGGCACAAAATATTTCATAATGAAGCTATTATAAATTAATTGGGAAGTAAATTTATTCCAACTTCCTAAAACGAGAAAAAAATTGTGTTTACAAAATGTTAAACAATATGGAGAATTCTCAACAAGAGCTGTCCGAACAGGTTAAATATCACTGTCAAAAAATATACTTTTGTTGACTGTGCTGTTCCTCACTTCAAGTTACTTACTTGAAATTCAAATCACCTCTTTTGAAATATCTGTTAATGAATTAAAATCGTAAATCTTTATGAACATGAGCTTTTTCTGCTACAATGATGACATGTAACAATTTTAGTCATTTCTGTAATAAAAGCAAATTGAAATGTCAATAATATCTCACTGTCATTACACAGGTTTCACTTTAACTTAAATGTGCCTTAGCTTTATTTTTAGTCATATTAAAATATGCAATGATGTAAATCTTTAAATCGAAACTTTTTTATTCAGAAAATATGAAATAAACAAAGTAATTGTTGAAAGATTATTAAAACTTACAAGCATTTAGGAAAAAAGAAGAGCTGGAACGTGGATCATATATATATATATATATATTTGAAATTTAATATAACTCAAAATTTTTACAGAACCTTTATGCTAAATAAACAGAAAGCTTTTTTTCTAAATAATTGCTAATTATTTAGAGAAATATTATTAAGTAACTTGATTATAATCATGTGTAAATTCTATTTTAATATTAAAGTGTGTAATGATGCAAAACAAAAATAAAAATTATTTTACTTAGTTAACATAGCAAAAACATTGGATTCATTGAAAGCTTTTAAAAAATTTGCTATCATAAATAGAATGTGAATCATTTTTTTTTTCAGAAAAAAACTAAATATATATTTCCTTTTGATTTAACGAAATTCCTTTTTTTCAATAAGCAGAATAGATTCTTTTGAAGTTTATAAACAAACAAATTCTCTTTTAATAATTGTAAGATGTATAATTATGCAAATTAACAAGTAAAAACACTTTTCTCAGTAAACATAACAAAAACATAGTATTCGTTAAAATACTTTTTATTTTTATTTTTTAGTAAATTTATTTAATTTTCAGTTCAAATTCTTCGAAACATAGAAAATAACATAAAAAAATTCTACATACGCATTTATTTAAATTTATCTGTCTTTAGAATTTATTTATTTGTCATTATTGTGCCGATTTTAGCTTATTTTAATCACTTTGTTTATAAATGTCGCATCTATGTTTTAAAATATCTTATTTATTTTTTAAAACTTTATCACTTAAAACTATTATATTATGTCAAAATGCTTTTTAAAGTTACGGATTTTTTAATGTATAGTAAAAACTAAAATAATAAAATTATTAGGATTTTTTTAAATTTATTTCAAACTTGCAACAACACTCTCTTTTAAAAACAAATATTTTCTGCACTTTTTTTGAGGTAACCAATTCTTTAGAAGTATTTGACAGTAAGCAGTTTGATTTTATGCAAAAAAATTAGTCTTTACAATTATAGAAATAGAGATTATTGAGAAATAATTTTAATAAAAGTAATATTTTTTTTAAAAGCAGATTTTTTTTAACTAAGGTAACCAAATCTTTAAAAAATACAATAACGTTATCATATTGGAATTTAAAGTTTTAAATGAAATTTATTTATCATTATTTTTTTAAAATGAAATTAACTAAGTAAATTTATGAAGAGGTAAATAAGGACGTTTCTTTATCAATGATAGAATAATCAACTCTCAATAAATAAAAATTACATCTTTATACTTGACTCATATTTTTTTCTTTATTTCTTTCTTTTAAGTATCTAAATCCTCAAAAGTTGCAATGATTTAATGAAATACAATGAATATAATTTATTTTAATTTACTCAAATTTAATGAATATAACTTATTTAAAAGAAAAAATATGTAAACCAACGAAAACAATGACGCTTCTGCATGGATTTTGATATTTTAACACTTCTTTCTACGCACATTAGTTTATTGTGTTATTTTAATAATTGCGAAAAATTACAAAATTACTCTGCAAAACCAAAATAATCAATAATTTTTGAAACTCATTGCATTTTTATTTTTAGTTCAATATCTAAAACAGATTCTATTTTTAATTAAGATTGTGTTTACTGTTAATAAATTGTTGTATCAAATTATCTAATTTACCTCTCATCAATGAATCTAATAATATGTCTTTAAACATTTTAAAACTTACAAAGATTCTTTTCATAATAAAGAAAATCTGCAGAATTTTCCATTTCATTTTCAGATTAAAGGGTGGAGGAGTGATGAAAAGTATGGGAGGCCACCGAATATATAGGGGGAAAACGGGGTCAGATAAAGCGACAAGAAAAAGTTTTCGATCGTAATACAGCTGCTGCTTTCTGATTTGAAGAAGACTAGAGAAAGAATTCTGAAAAAATACCCTCCATTTCGTGAATGTTACGTGAAAAATGTGTAAAGAAAATATTTGAAGTTTTGATATTTTTATGAAACTGAGAAATATCAAAATGAATTTTAATGAGGGTCAGGTGTGATTGAAATAATTCGGTTTAGCTACGCTGAATTGTCTTCTTGTAAAAATTATTGAATAATATTTTATCAATACCGAATATAGGCTGGGTCTCAAAATGATCCAATTTTATCGAAAAGCGATAAAGAAAGGCAATTATTGTAACGAGTTATGACTTTAAAACTATTAGTGAAATGCTTCACCTCTCTGTCCAACCAATTTCAATTTATTATATGTTATCATTATTTATTGCTTTCAGAGTATCTATGTTTACGAAATTTGCATGCAGAATTACATAAATTATGCAATTGAGTTATTTGATTAAATATGCAGAATTATACAATTGAGTTATTGGCTAGTAAATCATTAATTTAAATGATATTATTTATTTATGTTTTA